TGATTTGCTTTTTCTTTTTGTCTTTTGAATTTTTTTTTTTTTTGCTTCTGTTTTTCCTTGCCTTGCTTGATATTAGTTGTTGTTTGTAGTTTTCATTCATCTCCAAGCATTTGTTGCTGGCATGTGTTGGGATTAGTGGCTGTTCTATTGGAGAGTTCTCCCCATATATTTGGTTTTTTCCCCTCTTCTTTCTTCTTTTTTCTCTTTTCTCTCTTTCTTTTTTTTCCTTTTCCAAATTTCATTTTTGCACTCTTTTTTTTTTCTCTTCTCCTTTATCTCCTATCCCCTAATTTTCCTTTCTCTGGTGGTCTCCTTTATTTGGGGATATTAGTATCATGAATACATTTGTGTTCAGTGCCTTGTGTGTTGTACCTTGTTGTGTTGTATTTTGTGCCTTTAACTAAACACAGGAAGAGAGAACTACATAACTAGCACCCAGAGAAGGGAGATCATGGGGAGACAAAGAAACAGCCTGCATATGAAAGAAAAGCAGGCATCACCAGAAAAGGAAGTAAACGAAATGGAGGCAAGCAACCTGTCAGAGAAAGAATTCAGAGAAATTGTCATAAGGTGGATGAAAAGAATGAAAGACAAATTCAACAATATGTGTAAGAACCAAGAGGAAATGAACAAGAACCAAGAAAAAATGAAAAATGGCATGTCTGCTCTAAAGGACTCAATAGAAAGCATCAAGAGTAAACTAGAAGAAACGGGGGACTGCATCAGTGAACTAGAAGACAAGGTAGGAAAAAATACCTAAGTATTTTTTAGAGCAGCTTCTAGAAAAAAAAAATTTAAAAAGCAGGAGAGCCTAAGGAAACTTTGGGACAATAGAAAATAAAACAACATCTGCATAATAGGGGTGCCAGAAGGAGAGGAAACTGAGCAAGGAATAGAAAACCTGTTTGAAGAAATAATGACAAAAAATTTCCCTGATAGGGAAGAAAAAATTAACACAAAAAGAAGCTCACACCAAGCAAAATGAACCCCAAAAGACCAACACCAAGGCACATTATAATTAAATTGGCAAACATCATGACAAAGTAAGAATCTTAAAAGCAGCCAGAAAGAGAAGAAAGTTACCTACAGAGGATCCCCCATCAGACTAGTGACTGATTTCTCAACAGAAACACAACAGGCCAGAAGGGAATGGAATAAAATATACAAAGTCATACAAAGGAAGGATCTGAATCCAAGAATACTAGAGAAGTAGCTTTTTTCCTTTCTATCTGAAATTCTAAGAATTATACACTTTATATATAGGATTCATAAATGTATCATAAGTTCATGACATATATTATTTGGATTTTCCACTGTGTTTACATGTACATTGATGGAGCAAATGGAATTACTGACATCTTAACACCAGTAAAATTGATGACACTGAAATGTGCTAGTCGTCATTATATGTACTTATCACTACCACATACTTGCAAAAGAAAAAAAAAAGTTGAGTTAAGAACATCCAAGATGAATAAAACAAAATTATTAAATTTTGACCCCTGTGTATATATCATTTTAATATTCTGTGCAATGAAATAAGAAGTACACATAAAGTACTAAGTATGATGGTTGCCTCAAGGAAAAGAGTTTTTATATTTGTTCTTACATGAACTTGTGTAATATTTCTTTACTGAGTATACATGTGTGCTGAGCTCTGTGTTAGAAAGTTAGGTCAAAACCAGATAGAACACAAGGGATCTTCTCTGGAACATTTAGCCCAATAGGGAGAGGAGGCAACCCAAAGTTGAATGCCCTATGATAGGTGCCAAGGTAAAAATAAATACATTGTACAGTTGTTAGACATGGAGGGAAAGGTACAGCTCTAGAAGTCCTGAGTTGCTTAAAATAGAAGAAGCCACTTGAACATAGGAAAATGAGCAATCATCAGTTGCAATAGTAAACCCTAAAACAATTCAAAGACTTATCATCTCAGTGAAGTTCCCGGGGTTTCAAAGGTCCAAAGAATACTGAGCTATCCCCTTCGAGGTGAAAGACATGCAGCTGCACCTCACACCACCTACCACAGAAAAGGAGGCACAGCACTGGAGAGGCCTTTTAAGATTTGGAAGCAACAGACACTCCATGAGGGTGGGTGTTGCTTTGACCTATTTACAGAGTCACCTATAGAGCGGCCAGAGTTGAATGGGGATGAGAGCAAGAGGAGACTACAGCAAGTTTGGACTTCAGTGCCATCCACTTTGCCACTCTGGTTTTATCATTCAACAAATTCTACACTGACGTTTGATTTTCCATAGTAAATAGGATGAAGAATTTGGAAAACAACAGTAACTGATTCACAGCATTGTCCTCTAGTGTTTAGAGGAATATAGGCCCATTTCTTCAAATAACTATTCTTTGAGAAACAGCTTCTGGCTGGCTAATTGACTTTAGTGAAGTCTAAATATCTAGCTTAGGAAACAGAAGTGACCATGAAGCCTGAACTCCCATCATGAACCAAGCATTGTCTGACCTACTTAACCATGATATTGGTCAAGCCCAGCAGCAACCTATCATTAAGTGGAAATGATACCTAAAAGATTAGGCTCAGAGAGACCCAGAAAGTATAGATAGGTCACATGAGTAGGTGCCACAGATTTTTTTGAGATCAACTTCTCTTGTATTGTCTGCTCTCCTTTAATCCATGTCTAAACCCTCCTAAGGCATTCTTTACATTCACTTAAATAAGGAGGAAAACAATAAACCCAACTATACATGTGGTCTGGAACATTTACTGAAACAACACAAAACTAACACCTATAGCCCCACTAAAGGACATCGGTGAAAGAAAATTGTCTGCCACTAAAATATCAGGGGATGCACTTGTTATCTACATTATTTAAAGAAATGGCCAGAAGTACTGATCTACATTGATTTATGAGTGGCAACTAATGATTTTACTGGGTGGTAAGATACTTGGAAAGAACAGGATTTGAAGATTAGTGACAAGGAAATTTAAGAAAGAATTTTCTGGGCACAGACTATACCAGGGGAAGAGCACTGGAATGGAAGCTCTTAATAATGGACAATCTGATAAACTTTATGGATATATTGGCAGCCTTTTCCACTCCAATGCTTGCTCAATGATCCCATGAACAAAGTGGCCTTATTAGAAGCAATGGAAGTCATACATGAGCTCAAAAGCATTGATTTCCCCTTATCAAGTTTGACCTAGCTAATGCTGCTTCTGAGGGCCTAATCCAACAATTACAGAAACTAATGCTGAGCTCCTGATATGGGCATATTCCTTAGAGGGCCTGCCCAGACACCTGGTGATATATTGATTCCATCAGAAACCTTCCATGATAGAAATGCCTGAATTTGTCCTTACTGAAATAGACACATATACTTGTGTATGGATTTGTCTTCCTTGTTTCACAAATACCCCAGGAAGCACCGCTTTACCAGCTTTCTGTAAATTTTATTGGAACCGTGATAGATGTTTCCATGTTTTCCAGCCTTTTCCTCTGCCGCCTCTCACCAACCAGCAGGCTAGCGCCACGCACTCCCCTTCAGAGATGTCTGAAGCTTTGGTAGGAGAGGAGGGTACGTGTTTCAATGTGTTGTTATGGTACTTTGGAACTTTGGCTTAGTCCTAGAGATGATAGTTTCTCCCTTCATAAGCTATTTGCATATTCTTTAGAGTTATTTTTTAACTCAATAATTAATTCTTTATTAGTCGTTTTTAAGTGCTTATATTAAACTCTCCTTGTTAAAACTACTGTATATTTCTCTTTATTGGACCTTAATTGATATAGTAGGAGTCCAGGGGAGGAAAGACATTAGAAGCAGAAAGACCAGCAATTGCATGTTATGTACCAGTATCATACATTTAAAGAACTGTGCATAGGTATGTGATGACACACACATGTGGGGGTTAAGGGGGTGGCAGAGGAGGTGAAGAGATGGGACTTAAACCTGGAGAGTCCCTCTGGGCCAAGAAAACAAGTGCTTTTTTTTTTTTGCTGTGCTATATTGTATTTTATTTCAAAAGTATCTTTCCAGGTACTACTGGACAGAATAAATACAGTTAATATTTTAAAAATCAATGTAGGTAATGAGAATTTGCTTGGACACATTTTCGAGATGGATCTAACTAATTGACAACTGATGATATTGTATGTAAGAGGTAAACTTAATATCAGTATCTAGGGAGAGAATGCCCCACTGTGACCATGTAGAGAACTTATAATGAAATATTTGCTGTAACTCTCAAGGGGTCTGTGATCTCTCTATCATCTGCCTTTCTCTCTCTCTCTCTCTCTCTCTCTCTCTCTCTCTCTCTCTCTCTCTCTCAAAAATGTCAATCAATAAATTTAAAAATAATAATGAAATAAAATTTAGAAATAAAATAAATAAAATGTTCTTGTTACAAAAAGAATTATGTTCAATTTGTTCATTGTTTTTGTGTAATACAAGATTAGAAATCAAGGTATTATAGTGTCAAATTTACTTTAAAACATACAAACATTGCACAGTAAGGTATTATGTATGTGCTAGAATTTACGCTTCAAATCTAGGTTGAGAATCTATATGCACTAATTAAGAATTGATGCTATATAGATTCCCTAATTGAGAATTTATACAGAACAGCTTGTCAGCTAACATTATAATCAAGTACTTCCAATTCCTACATATTGATTAACACCTGAGTCAGTGATAATTATGAATAATAAATGCTAGAAATGTGTGTTTTTTATAAAAATGCTCTTTGCTTTTCAATTCCAAACTATGACACCTTCTGATGGACTTTTGTCAGTGTGGGAGTAGGGTGGGAAGTTGGGGAAGGGTAAGCCCCTCCTGGAGAAATTCATTAGAAGACCTCCATCTGGTTCAAATGTGACCTGAATGTAGCACAGCACTGATGTTGAAGCACTCCCCAAACTCCACCCACTCTTCCCTTTTGCCTTCACAGAAACAAACAAACAAAAAACCAACAAAACAAAACAAAAAAAGAAACACCTTCTTGAGAACTCCCCAGGCAGCACAAGGCTGAGTTCTTAAGTCACAGAAAGTCCTAGTGTCTCAGGAGGTTTGTGCTCAGCTCCCCCTGCAGTCTCAGTCACTGTGTCACTCACAGCACAGAAGTACACAGCAGAGTCGCTCCAGTGGGCTGAGTGTTTCTTCAGGTTGAAAGAGGTTTCATTCTTCCTAAATTCAGCTTCAAAAGCATCTATGCCTTTAACCAGGGGGTCCCCTGAAATGTACTTGAGAAGAAACTGGAGTCCTTGGTTGGGGTATTGCCGGTACCAGAAGAGATATGGTGAACCAGAAGTTGAATATTTGCATCTCAGCTCTAGTGGGGCTCCTTCAGAGACAGGAATATGGCCATCAGGCTGGCTGGCTGACTGCGCTCCGGTTCCTCCTGAAACATCAATGCTGTGTAAGTAAAAGCAGGGCAGACTTGGCCCCTAAGAAAAGGTGTCTCTATTCAGTTTCCACTAAGAACATGCTCACTATTGTGCAAACAGGAAAGGGCATGGAATGTTACTTACTCAGGGCAAAAATCACCTCAAGCACAGGGATGAGTAGCAGGACCATGGCTGAGCAGGGCAAGGGCTGCAGGTCCGGAACAGGTAAGACAAGAGCTGAGGTCACTGAGCCTTCCGAGGCTAAGTTGGCTAAGCCCCTTGCCTTGACAAGGCTTCCTTTTAATGAACTTGGATCTTCTCTGGCCTCTTATTCTCCTCACAGGTTCCTATCTACTCAGACATCAGTGAGGACACCACAGCCAGCTGCAGGGAGGAGGGGCTAAGTGCCTGGTGATGATTTTCAACAAAAATAAAAGTCTTACTTGTGTAACATCGCCCTCTGGGGGCCAGAGGCAAGATCAAAGGTTCAATAGAGCTGACTGGGTTTCCTTCTCATTTCAGAGATGAGATGCCAAAACTGTAGCATGGGTGTTTCTTCCTTCTTGAATATGTGATGATTTCATTGATTTTTTAGAGAGAGTAAGGGAGAGAGATAGAGAGTTAGGAACATCTATGAGAGAGAAACATTGATCAGCTGCCTCCTGCACAATCGCTACTTCAGATGTGCCCACAACCAAGGTGCATGCCCTTGACAGCAATGGAACCTGGGACCCTTCAATCCACAGGCTGACACTCTATCCATTGAGCCAAACCAGTTAAAGCAGACGTCATCTTCTGTAGTAAATAATATTAGTCCTAAAATAAATGAGAAATGGGAGTTAAGGATCAATGGAAGAGTAACTTACCTCACTGATAAATTAGTCACAGAAGACAATACTCTAGACTTTAAAATACTGTTGAGAAACTATATTATTTTTTAAAGCCATTCTTCAGGTAGAAAGACAAAGATCAACTAACTATTGCCTCAATGAAGCTGAGCTTCATCTGATCTTTTGCTGGTGGATATAAACATCAAAGTGTGGAAAAGAGGTTACTCCTTTATTCGGTGTTAAAAAGAAAGAAAAGACATTAGATCAGAGTCTCATACTTATAATCAGCCTGGAACACATCTCACTAATTATTTAATCAGTGCAAATTAATAAAGGCCATAATTTTCAGTCCTATCCAGTATGGCTCAATGGATAGAGGGTCAGTCTGCAGACAAAGAGACCTGGGTTCGATTCTGGTCAAGACCAGGTACCTTTTTGCAGGCTCCTCCCTGGCCCAGGCACTGATCAGGGTACATGCAGGAGGCTACCAATCAGTGTGTTTCACATCCATGTTTCTCTCTGCCTTTCCCTCTCTCTTCAACTCGCCATAAAAATCAATGGAAAAATATCCACAGTTGAGGATTAATAAAATAAATAAATAAAATGAAACAGCATGAAAATGTCTTTGTCCCTTTTGCTCTTTATCCTTCTACACAGGCAAAAACAAAAAAAATTAATGTGATTAGAAAATAGCCAAAAGCAGAGTTATAGTTATTGGAATGTTCACACCAATTTTGTGGTGATGGGGAAAGAGCAACCACCCAGGCACCTGGGATGGGAAAACCTTGGACCCAGCAGGGAGGGGGGATAAATGCTCTTGTATGGTCTGCAAGAGCCAAGCAACAATTGCAGTTGGCAATCTGACTTCTCTGGTTTGTTATCCTCTCCTATATTCTATGAAAACAGAAAGTCTATTAATGTGGCCTGCCTGAACTATTCTGCTGTGCCTGACACCATCAATGGAAGCTTCCCAAAAGAGATTTCCATCCCCATTTGTATAAAACACATACATCACCACAACCTTGTTTTAGTCGAACTGGTACAAATATCATACTAGTATATACGCTTCTGGTGTTTAAGCAGTCTTCAGTCATCTACCAGTGCGGGTTTGGGTACTTGCTGCAAGTGCCTGGAGAGATATATGTACAAGGCTGGATTGCTGAGCTGGTTGATGATGATGTGCAGGGAGCATGGTGGTTTGATCCAGAATTGCTGTGCATCTTCCATTAGATTTTTGTGTCTCGCTCTTAGTCATGATTATTAGGAAAATAGGACTTCTCCCAGTGACCAATTTGTACCACCTTAAGTTGTAAAAGGGACCCTCTGTATAATTGCACTGAATTGTGCAATTATCTCCCCCTCCCCCCTCGAGGATGATCAGGGATGAAGGATTCTGTTCCACTTGGTTTTAGCCACTCACCTCTATTCAGAAAGCAAAGTGAGATTTGAAAGATAGGCCTTTCATTCTTAATTTGCACCCTTCCCTTCCCACAATGAATTCCAGGTGAACTATAAAATGGCCCTATTTTCTTCCCTCTTTCAAACCTTTGCAGCAAATAAAAAGAAAATACTCCTTGGTAGGAACTCCTGTGTGAACCTGGCTAAAACTCTTCATTAACTTATGAAAAAAAATGAAGCCAAAAAACCAGCAAGGTGCTCAGATGCTTCTCCATTCTTCTTCTGCACAAGGATGCCTCCGAAAATTGGTGTGTCTACTCAATAGCTGTTTTTAAAACATTACACAAAGGATTTTAGGAGTTTATGATTAGCATATCACAGACAACTTGCCAAGTCAGAGAGCAGATTTGGAATCCTACACACAATCATATATCTACAGGCAGGGTCAAAACAAATACTGCCATTTTGAGGTCAAATTTACAGTTACATAAAACCTCTGATTAAGCTTTTGGCTAACTTTCCTCCTCATTATTTGCAACATTATATAGAATACTAGAGGCTTGATGCACGAATTCATGCATAGGTGGGCTCCCTCAGAGTGGCCTGCAGGGATCAGGCTTAAACCTGCAGCTAAGGCAGCCTGCCACTCCTTCCTGCCACTCCCACTCATCTCAGCTCCATGGCATTTGCTTCAGGCTGATGCCCAGCAATCCCAATCTGGAGAGGCTCAAGCTACTGCAGTGGCACTCGCCAGCCATGAGCCCAGTGTCTGGTGCCTGTCCAGATGAAAGAGGTGTGTGTGTGGAGGGGCGGGGGAGGGGAGGGGGGAGGAGAGGCAGGGAATGCAATTGGCCCTCCGGGTAGGTTTTGGGATGCTCTTACAGGCCGGGATCTGGATCCATCCCACTGACATTCCCACTGGTTGTTTGAAGCCACCTGTCAGCTGCTTTTATTTTTTTATTATTAGTAGTATTTTTTATGTTACAATAAAACTTTATTCATAGAATCAGCCCAAGTTCAAATTTGGACTCTGGGTGGCAAGCTTGCCAAACCTTACTTTATATTATTATTATTATAATTCAATTTACATAAATTATTTTACTTACGTCCACCTTCTTTTTTTTATTATTGATTTTTTTTATTGATTATGGTCTCAAATAATTGTCCTTATTCCCCCATTCCCATCCTAAACCCCTCCCTAAATATGCCCCCCCCCCCCAATCCCCATTGTCCATGGCCACTGGCTAGGCCCAAATGTATGCACACAAGTCCTTTGGTTGATCTCTTCCCCTTACCCCCATCCTCCCTTACTTTCCCTCTGAGGTTTGAGAGTCTGATCTCTGGTTCTCTTTCTCTGGGGCTGTTTATGTTGTTCATTATTTCCTCTAGATGTGTGAGATCATGTGATCCAAGAAATACCCTTGTAAGAACCTAAACTGCAACAAGCCATAATGGTTATGCTGAGAGGCAAATGAATCAGTCTGTAGTGCGTTGCTTTCTGGGCCAACAGTTCTTTTGAGTCCCAATTTCAATGCCAGATAGTTCCTTATGTGTACATGCCAGCCATGATATTTCAGATCTGACAAATGGTGGTGATGCAGGTCCGCCCGTCTCTGGTTTGGTCCTGGGCATCCTTCAGCAACCCGCAGCTGCTGTCTGCTGGTATACTGAGACATCGTCAGCATCTTCCATCTCCATTCTCCAAAGATAGAGAATTGTGTCTCTATCTTTATGGCTGGAGCACTTCTGTCTATTCCTCTCTGTTACAGGATTCCAGATGATCTCAGAGTCGTTTTCTGAAAATATACAAATATATTCTCGACCAAAATTTAATAAAGGGATATTTCCTTTAAATTTGATTTGTAATTCTTTTCCATTCCCCCCCCCCAAATTATTTCCCCCTAGCTAGTTTTGTCACTATTAGCGTTTCGAATGAAGGTTAATTTTCTAAAGCACAAATTTATATCATTTCTTCCTTGTGGAATGTCTAGGGAGGGGAAGTTGCCTTGGTATGTGAGGCCCACTTGCAGGAGGCTGGCACTTCAGCGATCATGCCTACTGTGCCAGTCAGTCGGTGCCTGGCCCATTCTTGGGAGATTGGACCTGAAGGACTACTGAGGGAGTGAGTGGCGGCTGCTAGGCTGGTAGGCCGCCGGGATGGGTCAGTCAGCCGAGTGGTGCTACCACTGTGGAAGCAGACTGACCACCAGGGTCATCACCTCTGTTGAGTGTCTGCCTCCTGGTGGTCAGTGTGGGTCATAGTGACAGGTCCACTGGTCGTTCAATCAATTGGATGTTCAGTGGCTTAGGTTTTTATATATATAAATAAGTCTCTATATGGCTGTATAAGCATAGTAAATTAGTACTTAAAACATAGGAGAGTTAAACCTCAACAGTCTCATCTGGAAATACCTAACAATATTTGAAAAATTTAGAAGACATAATGCAGGCCGTTGGCAAGATGGCAGAGTAGGAAGCCATACTCCTCTTTCCTCCCCAGAAATACCAAAACAACAATGACATTAGTACCAAAATACCTTGAAGAGAAATTCAGAATCCAGCTTAAAAAAGTGAGAGCACCCCAGAGGAACACAAACTGAGAGCAGTTACATTTCTTCAGGTAAGAATATTTCACTATACCTGTATCAGTTTCTCAGTACCAAGAAGACAACCTAGGCCCATGTTTTCTCCCACATTGGGCTGGAGGGTGGATGGGGAGAGGGGAGTGATTTGGAGAGTGTACCTAGCCTCCTGGCCTCTCAAGGGCATCCTCTCTGGGGCCTATCTCTATCTCATCTCATACAGAGTGCTGAATTATAGGCAAAGCTCCATTCCTTGGGACAGAAAAAAAAAAAAAAGTGGGGGGAGGGAGCCCACACCCAGTCTGTGAGATTGGAAGAGCAGAACAGAGGATTTCCTCCAATCCTTCATTATCATGATTACCCAATGATTATTTTAAATT